TGCGCGGGGCCGCGCCTCCCCTCGCCTCCGTCCCGGGCAGAGCCGCAGGCAGCCGCTTCCCGCCGCGCCGGTCCTGGACTGCAGCTTGCTGGTGGCGAGGGCAACAAGCAGCGGCATCTTGGAGCGTCTTCTTTCCCGAGTGCCCTTTCATCTCTCTCAGTCCGCTCCTCTCTCGTACCTGCAGCCTTTCCTTCTCCCTCCACTCCTCCTACCTTGTTATTTCTCCTTTTCTCTCCCTTCTCTTCCCGTTTTCTGTTTTTTGGGGTGTTTTTGCTTTCCTTCTCTTTCTTCCTCCCCCATCCTGTTCTTTTTTGGACCCTCTTCGTCTAGTGCCTCTTAATTTCTTGATTTCTTCTGGTTTTTTTTTCCTTGGACTTTGCCTTGTCATGTCAAGATGGAAGTCAGGCATGACTGGCTCTCCTCATCCCCCCATGAGGGCTTCGAGCAGATGAGGCTGAAGAGCAGACCCAGGGAGCCTTCTCCAAGCCTCACCAGAGTAGGTGCGAACTTCTACAGCACTGTCAAGCAGCAGGACTACAGTGCCAGTGTCTGGCTGAGGAGGAAAGACAAACTGGAGCACGTAAGCCAGCTTCTATTTCCCCCCTTTTTTTTCTCTTCTAGACCTCCGTCTAGTCATTCTGTTAGGCTATCTCTCTACCAGCTTGGACTCTAGAAGAAAAGTGTTGCTCCAGTGATTGGGCATGGCATTTCCCAAATGGTAGAGAAAGGAGCTACTTGGAGGTCCCAGACTGGTCAAATCTGAGGTAATTAGGATGTCAGCACTGTTCCCAAACCACATGCAAGTCTCTTCCTAACTGGAAATATTTTTTAATGTTCTCAGCTTATTCATTCTTCTATTCCTGCAAATTCAGGATTGGTGTGGGAGGAGAAAGATTGGGATGGTGCAGATGGAGGTTAGAGCATTTATCTCACGGTGATTATAATGTAGTTCTAGAATTGCTAAAAGAAAATAGCTTTTTTTAATTCTAGCTGTGATTCCCTCCCTCCCCCCCCTTCTTTTTCTTCTTCTTCATGCATGGGACTTCGAAAATACTCAACCTGTGTGGGGTAGAGGAGATTTCCTTCAAGACATCTATTCCTGCAGCAGTAGTACATGACTTAACTAAGTCATGTATTTGGGACCACAATAGAACTGATACTGTGGATAGCTCTAGTGAATATTTTATGAGAATTTAAGGTGCTTCTAAGTATTCCTGCCTCAGATGATGTTTGAAAGCATTTTTCATGTTACTTCTAACAGCAAGGAAATGGGTTGAGATGACCTGCATACTGTGTAAGAGTTTTCTGAATAGCTTATTAGATGAAACCCATTGTTACAGTGTACAGTACAATCAAAACGGGGAGGTAGCTGCATTTACAGGGATTCAAAAGAATGTGGATGGGTTTGCATAATGCAACAGTCTGCCATTCTTTACATTAGTTAGTAGTTTGCAATCACAGTCACATTGACTTCAAGATGCACAGAAAAATATTTCTTGTGGTACAGCCACCTGAAGTCTCTTTGGATAGAAATGGTCTCATTACAAGGATAAATTGCCTTTATTACATGAAAATCCTAGATGGCATAGTAGAGTCCTTTAAAGATGAAACCTGAAAAAAGCTCCTTTATGAACTAGTTCATGGAGTATTAGCCTCCCTTCCCACTAACCTGCTTGGTATTTTATCCCTGTTAGTGAATTCTTAAACTTAAGTTGTTCACACATCTGGGGAAACGACAAGAACTGGTGAACTGTAGGAAATACCACATTTCAAATGTTGAGAAAGGTATTGAATCCTATCTGCCTTCTTACACATGTTGTTGTGATTCTTCACACTAGCAACAAGGCTTCACAGTAGTAAGCTTGTAAGCGGAGTATTCTCTCATTGTGAATCAAGAAGAAAGGTCAGTGCCTTATCTCAGTACAGCTGATGGCTAAAACATAGAAAGCACAGAAATCTGAGCTTCGGCTTTTGTAACAGGTTTTTGCTACATGTGCCTACATGTTGATATGTGTCATCAAATGAATGATTATTAATTGGGGGGGGGGATAACCTGTCAACAGTTTGATAGCTAACTATTGTTCTGGTAGCTGAATGTTAGCATGTTCAGTTATCTGTATTTTAAATTATACCACAATATTAGCATGGACAAGGAAAACAGGCATTAACTTGTTTGAAGATTACAAGTGCAAAACCTTTATTTTGTGTGTGGTTTGGTTGGTTGTGGGTTTTTTTGGGGTTTTGTTTGTTTGGGTTTTTTGGATGAAGTCGGTATTTTGTCACAATAGTAATCTTCAATAACCCTGCAGCATTGGTGTGAAAAGCTTTTTCTGTAATCAGTTTGGTATGAATGCATGTTCTTCTGGGGGTTTCCCTCTTATTTGATCCAGTTATTTTTATTCCCAGAGCCTATTTGAACAATGTAGAGGAAAAATTGGAACATTGATATTTTTTGCTTGTCATGAAGTATTTATTTCATTGACATTTATTGTGAATACCCTGCAGTACGTTAGGTATGCCAACAGTATATATGTGAAAATACTTTGTGTTTATGTTTTAAGGTAACTGCATTACTCATGAGTGTTGTAACAGACAGGCTGTTGTATAGCTCCCCTTAATGAATGTAAAGAAAATACATATTAATTTCTAGATTGTATTTTGCTTATACAGTTTTGGAGCAAGGTGGTTGTTTTCTATTTTCAGATACATCTTTGAGGGTTTTGAGTGTTTTCTTGCCAAAGAAGTTATTTCCTACATTCCACTGTTCCACTCCGAAAGGCAAACCAATTAATTTGAGATGCATCATTTTGAATGGTATAGTCATTGAGATATGATAGCTTATGGCCAATATTGGATACTGAAGATATACAAACTTCATGAGGTGGATGGAGGACATGAATAACATTTCATTGCAGCTCCCTCTGAGATAATCATGTTACCTGATACCTACAAAGCAAATCAAAACAGGAGGAGTGAGCATTCATGGAGGCGCTGATTTTGAAAGTATGTCGTCATAAATTTGATGCTACATAATGATAGACATAGGCAGAAGAAGGGTATATAATGAGTGTAAGTCGAGATATGCATGAACAGGTTTTGAAGTTTCGTATATACTCTTTAGGCCTTGTGGAGGGGATTGGTTTTTGCTTCACTGAAATTATTTCTTAAATAGATTTCAGTGTGGTTGTAATAGGGATAAAATTGGGTCAGCATATTTTATACGCTACTTCCAGTAAATCCTTGTAGACCACAGTAGATATATTGACTTTCATTGAAGTGAGTAGCATGGCTTACTCATGTGCGACACTTCTTATCTTATTAATCTATATAATTTGAGGGACTAAAAAACATCTTCTGAAGCCAATTTTTATCAAACTGTTTATATAAAAAAGTCTCAAATACAAAAACAGTTTGTTTCTAGATTTCAAAACTGTAACAAAGTTGTGGGTTTTGGTGTTGTGTGGTTTGGTTTAGTGTTTTGGTTTGTTTTTTTTTAAACAGATCTCAATTTGAAGAGTGTGGTAAAGATGTTCAAAATTCGACTGTTGCCATATATCTCTTCTAAAAGCACAGAAGAAGTTCAGATGCACAAATATGATGCAGTTTTTTTAGAATTGTTCAATACTTAATTATTGACTGACCGTAAAGGAAGTCAAAATCTGGAACGTATTGCTGGCGTCTTGCTAATTGATTGTTCTTCAAATGGATCTTAATATAGTGCATCTCCTCGTTGGCTAATTGTTTATGTGGGTTATCTTTTTCCAAGTGGCAGTAGCACAATTTGTACCATACAAGATCTGAACACAACTCACCCCTGTTTGCTTTTGTGAACTCAGACGCTGTTTTTAAGATTAAATGGATCTGCTGTAATATGTTTAAAGATAGGCCAATGAGGATTTTTTTGCTGAAGCGAGGCCTCAGTGTACGTGTGCGCTGTAGCTAATGGGTCAAAGAGCCATACTTTTAATGGAGGAAATTACTAGAGGTGTGAGGAACTCTGACATTGCAGATGTGACCACAGTGATGTTGCAAACCTTTGGCTGAAATTCCTGCAGAGTTGAGATTGTTCAGATTCTATGTATCTGCTTCAGCTGGTTCCTCGTGCCTTTTTGTGAAGTTGTTTGCCTGGTACTGGAAGTGTTGGAGTGAAAACTGTTGTGTGAAATATTCTTAAAGTCTCCTTTGCACAGTGTTTTTTTGTTTGTCTTCGTCTGGTGTTGCCTTTTTTAATGAAATGTGAATCGGTTAAGAGAAAAAGGAGGAGGAGGTAGGGATGAGGGGGGAAAGAGTAGCTAACCTGATAGCCTTTAGCTGGTGGGAGTTACGTCTGGTTTAATTTACAGCAGCTCTCCATCATGTCTGTTTATCCTTCAGTAATGACAAGTACTGTATAGCTGCTTTCCTAGTACCTCAGCAAAGAATTCTAGATACTTAATTTTAAATAATCAAAACTTAAAACAAAAGCAGAACAGATTTGTTTTTAAGCTACCACAGATATGCGTCAAGCATACAGTCTTTTTTTATGACAAATACAGGTATCCCTTCTCAAAGATGTAGCCGTAGTCTTTCTCTAATAACTTTTAATTATTTACTTAATTATGTTAAAACATTTTAAAAATTGTCTTCTAAGAAACTGCTTCAAGACTATAATTTTTTTGGGAGACCTGGTATCAGAACAGTTTTATTTCCTGGACAGCCTCAGTCTGTTACCTTTAGTATTATCATAATTAGAAAAAGTTATTTGTAATTCTTGCATCATTTCTTGTTTTTACTTAAGTTCTGATCAGTAGCAAAGGCAACGTTGGGATTTTCAGATTCTAAGTACTCTTGCTGTTATGAGAGTTGACTTGACCAGTTGATGTTAGGCAGTTGATCAGCATACCGCTATCCCTTTGGCAGCATTGCTACCCAGAGAGAAAAGAGGCTATGAGGTTGAGGGAGGGCAGTGTCGCGTGGCAACAGAGGCAGGTATCTAACATGCAAATGTTAGGCTTAAGACAATTTACAACGCTGCCTGACAAGCATGGCTGTGGTACTTCTCAGAGCCTCGTGACCAAATCAGAAATAAAGTATAACTTTCATTCACCTGTCATAACATCTTTATAAAAGTTGAAATCCCAAATCCAGTTCTGCCAGTTCATTTTTATTATTCAAAAACTAGTAGTTCTCTTAGGCAGCCTCTTTTTTTTCCCCCTCTTTTTTTCTTTTTTTCTTTTCTTACAATACAGGAAATTCTTAACAAAAACATTGTTAGACAGTTTAAAATTGTATTTCTGCTCTTGCATGTAAATTAGTACAAGTGTTAAAAGTCAGAGGACAGATTTATAGGCTTCAGAATTTGACATCTTAAGGATGGCAGAAGACACCATGTGCATAGCTATAATCTGTAACACGTAAACGAAGGTGGACAGAGCCTGATGTAAAGCAAGTAACAGGAGTAGAACTCAGTTAAGCCAAATCAGTAGCTTGACAGAGTCAACAACTTTAACTTAAGGAAGAATACTAAAAGGATCTAAATCACAATTCAAAAAACCATTACACATATTCCCGAAGCAGCCTCTGTCTCGCAGTAAATGCAAA